GATTTAATAATATAACATTTTATAAAGATAATAATTAAGTATTCTGTTAGAACTTAATGATTATCCTAATTATATTTTAGATTTTTTATATTTAAAATCAGATGTTTATTCTGTATTTGATTGTGTTTATCTGCAGTTAGTTACACGAATTCAGATATAGGACGAAATCGGATAGGGATGAAATCATTTAGGGATGAACGGGTTTAAAAATTTTAGTCAAATGCTTTATAAAATAGTATAGATATGTATGTACATGTATACGGGATTATGGGCTTTGTAGTTAGGTTTTATTGGGGACCATATATATGGTGTCAAATGGGCTTTTCTCAACTAGGTTCATGTCTCTTCTAAGCTCTAAAAATTTTTTTTTTTTCTCGAAACCTTCGAAAAATCTATTTAATGCTACATAAACATGTATTATTCCTAAAATCAATTAAGGGATCATTTATTATAAGGGGTTGTTTATCAAACGCTTACCTGGGTAAGAGCTTACCAAGTCACATCATCTTACATGATGAATATGGTAAGAAATAAGAATCTTACCCTATAAGAGCGAGACAAAGACCAAAAGTCTTACTCGGTAAGTGAGAAGGACAATATTTATCACAGTTAGCACTTATCAGATAAATTGTTTCATACCATTTCATTTTTGTTGATTAGTGTTTAATTTTACAAGTAGGCGCTTACCGGATAAGTGTTTGGTAAATGACCCCTAAATATTTATCCGGTAAGTGCTTACTTGTTCACTTTTCTTGACCGGATGAACAAGGACCAATATATAATCTTACCCAATAAGAATGATAACAAAGGCCAAGAGTCTTATCCGATAAATGATAGTGACAAATCTTACCCAGTTAGCATTTAACGGTTAAATTGTTGAATACAATGTTTATTTTAATGGTTTCGAATCTTACCCGATAAAGTAATTAAGAGTGTTGACTCTTATTGGTAAACGTCTGAGTAATTAGTCTCGTAGTCCCTTGATTTTCATACATTACACAATTAATCCCTCTTTTCAATTTAGTCCAAATTTCACGTGTTACAACATATTTTTTTACAAGAAAAAAATGATTCGTTTTTATTTACGACAAAAATTCATTATGACATCATTTTTATATCTTTTATATGTTGATTATTACACGAAATTGATTTTGATTAGGAATATTTGTTGTATTTTAATCAATAAGAATATTTATTTATCTTATTATATTTAGGTCAAATCTGGAATTTAGATGATTATAAAAAAAAGTTTGAATAAAAGATGATTAATAAACAATAAAATTTATTTTTGTACCCTAGTTATGCATTACACAATTCTTATGCTTAATGAGTTGATTGTTTGTGTTTATTAATCGAGAGATTTTAATACGTGATACAGTCTTAGGGGTCGTTTACTAAACACTTAGTTGATAAGTGCTTACCGGATAAATTTCTTCATTGGATGAACATGAGAAGGGCCAAGAGTCTTACCGGATAAGAGCGATGAGAAATAATGGAAATTCTTACCCAGTAAGTGAGAACGTTGACTCTTACCCAGGTAAGAACTTACCCAGTAAATTGTTTTCATTCGATATGTTTTGATGTACTAAATTCTTACGCATCAAAATAAATGATAGTGTTGATTCATATCAATAAGCGCTTACCAAGTAAGCATTTGGGTAAACGGCCCCTTACTATTACTTGAGAAAGGGTAGCGAGTAATTGAGGAATTGTCATATTTAACCTTGTGTGTTCAATTATGAATATGTGATTAATGGAATCCAATTGAAATTCAACCACTAGCCCCTTCCTAACCATTTAAGTAATGCTTTGTAGTGTTAGAATCATTGTTTATGCTTTTGTTTTATATGGTTACCTCTATTCTCTAGATCAGTAGATTTACTAGTTATAACTCAAACCACCATTTTTCAACAGTCTAGTTAGTGGTTACAGTAACCTTGTGATACTTAATCTCATAGTTCCTTGGATCGATACTCGTACTTGGTACATATTACTTGATTGACACTGGTACACCTGCGGTAGATTTGGAGGGTTGCATAAACCGTCTATCGAAAACGTTGTTGTTGAAGAAAATGCATTTTCATTAACAAAATCAACCATTACAGCATACTAGGTAACTAAAAGAGCAGTAGAGTCACAAAAAGCAACAGGTACATCTTTCATAAAATTTACAACATCTTTGATCAGTAAAAGAGAAAATAAATCCCAAACGCGATCCAGTTGATGCACGCTATCACTTTCAACCTTCGAGCTTCATTCTTCTTTTTCTTGATAGTGGCTTCAAGCATATTCCTTGACTTTAATGATCTCGGAATAACTTCAACAACTCGAGTAATCATTGGTGGATCAAACCGATCAATAAAATGACATTTTGATCCCTGAAAGACACAATACAAAGAAATCAGGTCAAAATACTCTGGATACTAATAAAAAAACAAACTTACCGTTCATGGGCAACAACAAAAAACCTCCTGCTTGGATTTCTTGAGGTCCATGATGTTTTAATCACAACATAGCATCAACAGTTGCAAACCACCATTGTTGATCTTCGAAAAACTCACGCATGAACAATGAAGAAGAAGATCGCCACTTTTATTTTACCCGTTGGAGACTCGAGAACTGATGCATCAAAGAGTTGCATTTGTAAAGAGTTGGGTATCAGTTATATTTGTTATAGAGGAAAAGACATTTTTGTCCTCATGTGGTGCAACTTAACCCCCCTTCTAATGACCGTTAGACCAAGAGACCCAAAGCAAAGGTAGATCCAAACATAAAGGCAACCCTGTAATAATTATGTCGAGGGACGATAACCAGAGTTTTGGTAAACCACATGGACGAAAAATGTAATTCACTCTTAATATCATACTGATTCTTAAAACCAATGATATTATAAGCACATTTTATGCAATTAAGGGGAATAATGCAAAAATTTACAGTAGTTCTTTTCGATAACAATGGTATCCAAACCAATTTACATATACCTCAACTGCTCCTATTAGACCGTGAAATCAATTTCCATGGGAAATATATGTAAATACAACTAAAAATTGAACATTAAGGGGTGTAAGTGAAATTTAAGTAAAGCAGGGGGTTTAAAGTGGAACTTTTTCCATGAAGATAATATGTATATAATGCCCCATTCCCCCGCACAATCTTTTTTGCAATTAGACGAGCGTAGCTGAGCGGCGCCCGAGAGAGAGACCCGAGAGTGGAGTGTGGCCCGACCCGAGGGATCTGCGATTTAGGGTTTTGAAATTCCGAACAAAACTATATAATCGAAGGTCAGGTTAGCGTGCATTATTTCGGTAATCGATCGTTTAATTATTCCGTTTTAGGTATACGTTTTTTCAGATGTGCAGATGATAAAATGGTGAGTTTGTTTTGGTATATGATGATATTGATGATGATGATGATGATGATGACTGTGTGTGAGAAAGAGGCATGTGTATTGTGTGCAGGAGTCTTCGTCTTCGTGTGTGAGAGGTTATTTGAGAGAGAGGAATTTGGTGAGATCGCGAGAGCTAAAGAAGGAATTGAGTGTTGTTTGTGTGATTTTCTCACTGTAAACCCTAATATCTGGTTTCTGCCATTATGTCTGAGAAAAAGCTCGTGGTAAGTTTCTTGGTTCGGCATCTTTTCTTTGTTTTGTTTTCTGGTTTCATTAAAGATTTAAAATTTCTGTATGTATTTATAATAACAGGTGTTGGGCATCCCGTGGGATGTTGATACCGATGGTTTGAAGGATTACATGAGCAAATTCGGGGAATTGGAGGACTGTATCGTTATGAAGGTTAGTCTCTCTTTAGAATCTTAACATGGCCTTTTGGATAATGATAGGGTTCCAAGGATAAAGGGGTGTTATGACTACTGAGAAAATATGTTAAGCCAAGTTCATTTGAAATTAACTAAATTAGGCGTCCACCAAAAAAGAAATTAAGTGTATAGTATCGTTAGGATATTTTAGTATTTCTGCGTATCTGCTACATCCCCAGGTAAAAAGATTCACAGTTCTTTCTTTTGCAATAGTGACTAGCCAAATTATCTCAATTTTAATTTCTATATATGTGCACAGTAATGAGTTTCAAGAACACGCCATCATCAGACAAAGAGGGATGAAGATGAACTTGATTAACATTATTTCTCCTGGCTGCAATAGCTGTGTTGTTTGGTAGGCATCCAGTAGGCTGTAGACTGTAGTGATATTTTATATAGAACTGTGCATCCGTGCATCTGTTCTTGTGACATAGACTTGTAGTATATTAGTATAAATAAAACTTTTTGTCCTATTCTGTTTTTCATGATTTGTTGTTTAACCACTTACAACCTGTCTCACGAGAGTTGAAAAATCTGCTTTATGGCACAACTTTAGCAGTTTCTCAGTACTTCTGATTAAACTTTCTCTCATCCCTTCAAAAAATTATTATACCAAACTTTAAGCATCTTTTATTGGGGCGTTTGGTATATACGTTTAGAAATGAGGGAATGGACTGAAGAATGATGTCCAGTTGAGGCTGTTTGGTATATGGTTTGGGAATCAAGTTGTGGAATGATTCTTAAATTCAGGTTCCCGTGGAGGGGGGTGGCATTGATACTCATGCGGACTATGATCATGCCCGTTATGGGTTTCCACCCTTTTGCAATAAAGAAATTAGGTTTGAATATGTTAGCGTGAGCTAAAACATCCCAATGTGTTAAGAAGATGTGTGTATGACATGGTCTTGTCTGTAAGTGTGACATGAGCCTTAAGTTTACAGGCTTGAGATCATATGCATTAGAATAGGATTCTATAGGTTTTTATGAGGTTCTAGCTTGTTGATTTGAGTAACTCCTTGCTCCCTCGCTGGTTTGCTTATGCTGTTCATTTGTAGAGGTGTGACTCCCCTACCTATTAGAAAACTCCCACGTGACCATTTAGGTCTCAAAAACTATTTGTAATGGGTTTAAGAATCATTATGAATTGCCCAAATAGGTCATCTAATAAAATGACACAATCACACAATGATAAGCATGGATCAAATGGATAAAGCTATGAATCAAATGGGTAAAAGGTGGATTTTTGTTAATTCTTGATCAAATAATAGGAAACAAATGGAGTGCAGTTTCAGACATAACCTCCCTAAGTAGGAACAGGATGGAATGTGGAGACAAGCTTGTGTTTTTGTCTAAGATAGAATGAAGATGCACATTGTCTATTGCTTTATCTGTAAAGAGATATTCAGATGCCCAGGAACTCTGGAATTTAGGAACTGCTTTAATGGCATGGGCAGGGAAGTGTGAAGATTACTAATATATTTGGTCTCTGTTTATGGGAGAAGGGGTTAAAAACTTGCCTGTTGGGAAATTATGTATTAACTAATGTACTTTTTGCCATTTGCAAAAGATTGAAACTTCAAATATTGTTGGTTACTCTCTTTCCTTTTCCTGATTAAAATGGGAGTAAGCAATCTCTTTTTGCTGTTTGATTTTCTATGGACAAGTTTTATTTTGATGTGCAATGTGGATCTTGTCTTAGGCCAGGTGGAACAATCCACTCAAAGAATATTTAATATATTTATTGCTCTTGGATGGGCAACCATGTCAGACTTTTCAAGAAAGTTCAAGTGCTTATAATATTTGTGAATTTTGATAGAGCTGGGGGAAACATCAGCTGCTCCCACTGGTTCTTCTGTATGGACATTATTTGTGTGGAAAAGTAGGAAGGAACTTATATATTTGACATGCTAATTTTTGTGTATATCCTTGTTCCTAGTATATTCCTTCACATTTTTTCAATACTAAGGTCTCAATCACACTTCTCAAGTTATGAATGCATTTTAAGGTAAAACCATAGAAGAGGTGCATTTCTCTAGCCCCCATCCCCTGTAGGGGTACAATTATGTATGCATTGACCAAACGAATTTGGCTTATAATTCCAGGAGCGCTCAAGTGGCCGGTCTCGTGGTTTTGGATATGTAACCTTTGCAACAGTTGAAGATGCTAAGGTAAGTCAAGGATTTTATATGCATTCTTTTTGAAACTTTCTTCTTGTCATTTGAAGTTTCTTATATACAAGATCGATATATCTTCGTACTTGTTTTTTTTATTCCATCTTATTCCTTGCGATGGTGATTTCCTCATTTTGTATGTGACTGCCACAGGCTGCACTATCGAGCGAGCACTTCCTTGGAAACAGAGTGCTGGAAGTAAAAATAGCAACACCAAAGGTTTTTTCTAACAAACATATAATTCATGTCACCTTTTGGCATGCTTTACAATCATGCTTCTGAAATTTGGATGATATTCTTCTAAAAGTTTCTGTTCCTTTATCAGGAGGAGATGAGAGCACCTTCAAAGAAGGTCACCAGGATTTTTGTAGCTAGAATTCCACCTTCAGTCACAGAAGCTGCATTCAGGAGGTAGCTTTCTGTAATGGATTTCATAAATGGGGAGGATGAGGGGAGATGCACTCTATAATATTCTTTAGTTGTTTGAATTTGTTAGTTCCCTTTTTTCAAAGTTATATGTGGTCCATAATGACCGATGGGTGTACAACTTGCTTTGTTTCTTGCAGCCATTTTGAAAAATTTGGTGAGATAACGGATTTGTATATGCCCAAGGTAGATATTTAGATGCTACATTCATTTATTTGATGTCTCTATATTTTGTGAAACATTTCCGTTAATTTGTTTGTGAAATATCTAATTTATGCAGGATCCAAGTACCAAGGGGCATCGTGGAATTGGTTTTATAACTTTTGCAAATGCCGGTAATTCCATTCAAGACTTAGTCATTTGTTTTGCTGATGAATTGAACTCACCAATTATATGCACCTCAAAGAGTGTACGCTTATTGCAACCTGCCAGAAATGAAGCTACATATGGGATAGGATGGGGTGGTCACTGTTTTAGATTTTAGTTGCTTCGTTACTGCCAAATTACTTCCATATTTAGATGCCTTGCCCTTTACTTGGATTTTGTTTGTTGGCATGCTTTTTTAGCATATTAATGTTGCATAGTCAAATGTTTATGATGCAAAGTTGAAAAGAAAGTCTATAGGGTGCATGAAGAGAAAGACAACATTTCTATAGAAGCATAATTCTGGCAACATTACATCTACCATTTCTTGTGGAATTTATACTTGTGTCAATCCTTGATGATTGGAGAACATGTTAGGTTATTTTCTATAAGTTCTGCTGGATATATAGATGAAGAGTTCATAGTTAATGAGAGAAATGGTTGGCATGTATCACCTGCAAATACTTCCCTGATTCTATGTCAATGTTTTAGTGTGTTGAATGCATCTTTCAGTGCTTACACTTCTTAGTTTAAGGGTTTCATATCAACCCTCATATATTTATCTTGCAAAGCTAGATTAGATGAAAAAACCAACTCCTCATTAACTTATACCATGTATGCCAGTTACTACCTTCTATTACCAGATAATTCTTTCATGATGGAATTTTTGGTACTGTAGTGGTCAAGTGGGTGTATTTATCGTTGGTGTGGTGACTAGTTAACTTTTAGCATGAGTGTAATTTACATTAGTTTATCCTTTTATTTTCACACCTGATGAAACAATAATTGAAGGTCAAGTGGGTGTAATTATCGTTGGTGTGGTGACTAGTTAACTTTTAGCATGAGTGTAATTTACATTAGTTTATCCTTTTATTTTCACACCTGATGAAACAATAATTGAAGGTCAAGTGGGTGTAATTATCGTTGGTGTGGTGACTAGTTAACTTTTATCATGAGTGTAAATTTACATTAGTTTATTCTTTTATTTTCACACCTGATGAAACAATAATTGAAGGTCTTTTGGCTGTTGTGCTTCTTACTCATCCCCACTGGCCATCGCCATACCACAAAGATATTCAGGAGAGATTTTAATCGGAGCATCATTCGATTATATGATCTTTGGAAATCTTGATTGTGCTCTGTGTGAACGTATTCAATTTGATCTTTATTGGGTTGAGTTCCCTCTTGTAATGGCTAAAATCCATTTGGTTTTTTTGACTGGCTTACAGTTGTCTTTTATGCTCGATTAAACTTTAAAATTCGATGATTTAGATAACCTGCAATCAGTTAACTTATTTATTCTTCCTTTACAGATTCTGTGGATGATCTCATGTCCGAGACCCATGAACTAGGAGGGTCAAACGTGGTTGTCGATCGAGCAACACCTAAGGTAGTATACACCATTACTTATCATCATTTACTCTTTGCCAGTGCTTCATATTCTTTGAAATGATGAGCTTTCTTAGATTTATGGTTAAGTTTAGAAGGTTCCTGACACATCCTTTTATTATTTTATTTAACGTAATAGCCACTAGTTGATTATTTTTGTGTGATAATTGCTCTCAGGAAGATGATTTCCGACCAGTTAGCCGAATGCCTCAGGGGGGTGGTGGTGGTGGTGGATATGGCGCTTATAATGCGTATGTTACAACTAGATATGCTGCACTTGGTGCTCCTACATCATATGACTATCCCGGCCCTGCTTATGGAAGTATGTTCTGTTTTTTGTGCATAGGAATAATTTATTCTTACTCCCTCCATCTCAGAATAAATGTCCACAATGAAAAAGACAGTTTTAGAAATCTGTAATTATTACACTTTCTAATTAACTACATGACAATTTTACTCTTAATAATAGAGGGAGTAATGACTTTCTCCATCTTATAATCAAGGGCAGAATTTGGAAGTAGACACCTACTTTTGAAAGTGGACACATATTTTGAGACAACCTAAAACAGAAATGCGAACACTTATTCTGGGAGGGAGGGAGTATTACCTAAGACGTTAATTAATGATTTTCATTTTGGTGGGAGCAGGAGGAGAATCAGCTCGGGGAATGGGCAAGAAGATTTTTGTTGGCAGGCTTCCTCAGGAAGCAAGTGTAGAAGACCTCCGCCAGTATTTTGGAAGGTTTGGACGCATATTGGATGTATATGTCCCCAAGGTAGTTTAGCTGCCTATTGATGGCCTGCCTATATTTGGTATACTTGTATGCTTTTTTTATGTACTTAACCATACTGTAAATACCCTTTTGATATAGGATCCTAAAAGATCTGGTCACAGGGGCTTCGGCTTTGTGACATTTGCTGAGGATGGTGTTGCAGATCGTGTTTCACGAAGGCCACATGAGATTTGTGGGCAACAGGTAGTTGATATAATGTTTATCTATAAATTGCATTTTTGTTCTTTTCTAAACAAAAGTTCCCGTTCACTTACTATTGTCGATAAAGGATGGCTTCTCTTTGTAGAACTATTATAATCAGGTAGTCTGTGGCTTGAGCTCATGAATCTTGATGACTTAATCGTCTTTTGATTATGCCGCCCACTCTACAAACCTGCTTATCAAGAAAGATTTAAAGGTGAAATGGATAGATATCCAAACCAAATGGACCCTCTATATCCCAGAGAAGTAAGGTCGAGTTGGTAAGATGTATGTTGACCTCGCCTCTACCCCCGAAGGTTAGAGAAATAATGGATAAATGTGGAACAGGACTGGATGGGCAAGAGTGAGGTAGGCGGGTCAGTGGGTGAGAATTGTGCAAGGTTTTAGACTTTTAGTGTTTTAAATTAACATGGGTGGTTTAGTAATTTACGAAGTTTGTCATATCTTTTTGATTTTTGTGGGACAGAAAAAATGCAATTTTGTTCCGCTCGGGACTGTCCAATCCTAGTCTAATAGTTGCACCAAGTGTAGGATAACAAGTTTTTGTTTTGCTGTGTCTTGTTCTGTTCCGTGTACTAAACACACCCTAAATAAACCTACATCCTAAAGTATTACGTAAAATACTTGCATTAATTCATACCCAAATGAACATTCCAAAATACTTATCCAACTAATCCATTTTCTTTATTCTGATTAATACTTGTTGCATTGCAGGTTGCAATAGATTCCGCTACACCTGTTGATGATGGTGGTGGTTCGAGTGGAGGCCCCTTTATGGACAATCCTGAACCACCACCTTATGGAGGTTATGGCCCCATGCGAGCCTATGGCAGAATGTATGGAAGCCTCGATTTTGATGATGTAAGTACAGAGATATCGTGGATAATCCTATTGTTAAGCCAACCCTTTGATAGTATAGGCACTATGGCAGAATCGTTTTCTTGATCCAAAAGAAGATTTTGAAAATACACACGTTTTATAGGCCAGAATGACCATTTTGTTCGATTTCAGTAAGCGCAGGGATTTATTTGTTAAAAGAATGTCCATTGGGTTCTTGTGGAATTTTCCAAGGGACTTGATGACTCAAAATACGAAAGTCTCTTGGGTTTTTTGGATTTTTTTTCCGTTTATACAATATGAAATGTGTTAGAAATATAACTTAAATGTTCTGAATTCAGGAAGTTGGTGCTAATACAAGTTCTATGTTAAAACAATTTATTGCAGTGGGGCTATGGCGGCATGGGGCGGCTGGGTGGTATGGGAGGCATGGGGCGGATGGGTGGAGGCATGGGCGGGCTAGGTGGAAGCATGGGCGGAGGGAGACCTTCACGAGATATGAGGTATCGGCCGTATTAGAAGATGGAGGTGTCCAGACTTCACCAATGTGTTGAATTTGTGAGTTAAAAAAACTTAATGTGAAAGTGGGGACTTGTGGACAAAATATTGTGGATGGAAGGAGGTTGGTTTAAGGTTATTATGGTTGTAAACTGGAATTTGGATTCCTATTTCATTGGTGGTGCTCATGGCTAAAACTGGCCTTTGTTTACCTGTTTTCTTGAAAGTATACGGGGGCAAAATTTACAAGTACTTGGGGGCGGGTGGGCCTATTTAGGGCGATAGGAGAAAGTCGTTATGGTTGTCATTTTATTTCACTTTCGACTCCTCTGATTAACTATAGTTAAAAAACTTAGTCAACTTTTTTAGCTTTTTGTTTTATTTGATTATAGAGTAAATTATAGTTTAAGTCTATATGTGGTTGGTTTGTTTTTTCTCCTTCTATTTTTCATTTTATACCTATTATTATTTTAAAATAAATTAATTATTGAATATTTTTAAATTTTTTATGTAATTTATCTTTTATATCTAT